GGTGAGGACTTTAAGAGTCGGGAATTAACATATCATAAAAGTCAGTTCTCAAAGTGGGACATGATCTGGACCCTTGCTACAAATAAAGGTTCTTCGGATGTTTCTGGACAGCTTGCAGGATGAAGCAAAGCAAATACAATTTGCAGCAAGTCGAGATCCAAGTAGAGGTAAGAAACTACTGAAATTGTACTGAATGCAATGGAAATGTGCTATCAAATAAGACTACAGAGAGCCTTCCTCGGGAGCTAGTTTTTTAGGAAAAGAAGAATGCATGATTGTGTGTGTGTGTACACCTGCAGGTGCTCACCCCCATGCAAGTGCACACCCCCAGTAGGACAAGTCAGGAGAAATTAACTTGATGACATCTTTAAGGGGTTTCTTGCCTATGATTCCTGGGTACCATATCTGTATAATTAAAAAGCTATTCAACATGCACAGAAGATATTACAAAGGATGTTAATATTAAAATAAAGAAAATTGCCGAGTCATTTAAAAATCATTATCAAACATTTAAACGTCCATTAAGGGAAATGGAACAATGAATCTTTAAAGGCTCCTAAATGGGTGGCCCTCCACATTGTATATTCCAATACTTATGAATAGGCAATTGTAAGTACAGTAATCCAAATTTCAAAAGACAACTGGCCTGGGGAGGTGTACACAAGTGATTAGAATTTCAAAGAGCTCAGAATAAATGCCAGCTCTTTGATAGGATGCTTTATGCATAAAGTGGCAGGAAGAGGTGTCAGAGTTGCTCTTGGAAAGTTCACACAGAGCTATATGAGACCATTAAAGCAGACCTGTGGTGATTTCTGCTGTGTAATAAAACTCCATGCCCGACACTTTTTCACAATGTGCCGTTATTGACCAATGATGAACACAAAAAAACAGCTAATACCCATAACACCTTGCCATACATTATCAAGCTATCCTAGGAGAGAGGGGAAAGTAAATTGTGTTCTGTGTGTTTAGGGCATCATTGAAATTAATGAATATCATCTAAAACAGCCTCAGGGCACCCGCAATGAATTACCAATTCATAGGGGTACTTGTGCTCCCAGTCTTTTTGTACACACAAAGGACTCACAGGAAACTCTAAATCCTTGAATGTATAGAGCTATTTAGTAATCGGGTGGCCCTAGGCAAAGAAGAAGGGGGGAATGCTGAAATACTCATTATATTCGAGGGGGCGTGTACGGTTGGGGTCTTCTACAGGCAATGTGAAAGAGGGCCATGACCTCTGAGGACCAATTTTCCACAGGGATAAATATTAGGAAATGTAAGAAAAAGACATCATTCATAAGACAAAGTCACAGTTATTCTGACAGTATAGGAGATCTGAACCAAAAAGTTGCCAAAATCCCCAATCCTGGAGGAAGGTTCATTTGTTCCTTCTGAGAATACTTGGGGGGATGTAAATTCCTCAAATCTAATTGATTCTGAGGAACCCAATTCCCTGATTTACGTATCAGATGCACATGGTCTAGTCAATGAAAAAAAAAACAAAAAACATAAAAGCTACCAGGCTGAGATGGGACTTCTCAGGGCTAATCCTCAGAATTTCTCAGCCTCCCACTGGTGCAGTTCACAGCCCTGCATGACTAGGGCTCTGTCTGGCCTCCAGTGCCTCACTGCCTCCCTAGGCCCTAGCGCCCTTCTTCAGAAACCACAGCCTGGCCTCTCCCTCCCTGTACTCAGGGAGTGTGCCATTGAGGGCACTTTGGATTTTGGAGCCAAGCCAGACCAACCCTTATTAAAAATCCCTGAGAGGAACTGTCCTCCAATTGTGTGATGTGTAATGCAAACTAATCATGCTCTCTGTGCCCAGACCAGTAATCTGAGAACGAGGCATTCTCTTAAAATAAATTAAAGGTACTCGCTACTCGCCTCACACTGTGAGTGGGAAGAAGACCGTATAATTCATCCAACCAAGGATTTATGGGGCCTGATGCTTTAATGATGAAAGGGGAGCTAGATCCTTGGTGTGCGGGCTGGTGAAGGGAGGACAACTGAGAGAAAGGGTAGGGTGCTGTATAACAGAAAGTATGAGTGCC